CTGGCAAACTCAACAGTGATGCTGCCATACTTGCCCAAGGACTGCTGACCAGAAGAACTACAAACAACGTGGAGAACGCAGTGACTTTGTAGGCACTGACCACTCCACATCAATGCTGATGGGTGAAATCTGCACATAGGCTTATGCTGAATGGGACTCCTGCTAGTTCTTTCAATTTGCTCGTTACATAAAGTGTTTTCACCTAAAACACTGAAGGATTGTTCTTGGTTTCTGAATGCATTCGGGGTAAAAATTTCCCCCATGACACCATCATTAATGTAACTTTTATCTCAACATTGGATGAAGTTTTAATAAAGGTGGAAAGGAAGACAAAGAAAGCCTGAAGGTAGCTTCCATCAGGATACTGACCTCTCTTAATCCCGAGGGCCTTGGTACCAACGCAGTCCACCCCAGAGTCCACTGGGTCCCCAATGCAAGTCAGTCTCTTTCCCCTTCTTAGCCCAGGGGATTCTTGTCCTACTACTGCAAGGGCAGAGGCACTGCTGGCTGCCAGCCCTCTGTCTGGGTGCTGGGGAGCTCAACAGCCAGTTGACCCCATCCCAGCGGAGTTCCCTCCTTTTAACTCCTCCTCCAGCCCTGGCTTGGTTTGCAGGGGTGGAGGGCTGGGACTTTCCAGCCCAAAGCAGCTCCTTAACCCCTCCCGTGCTGGTGCAGGGTTTGATACCCCTTCACAGGGGTCAGTGCAGGTATGGAGGACATAGCTGAGACGAAGTCAGTAGCTGCTCCTTCTTATGCAAAGTCTGAAAACCACGCATAGACGGCAGGGATGGGCAGCAGCTGGGACCTGCTCACAATTTGGCAGGTTAGTTTCTTTTAGAACTCTTCCAACTAGAGTGAGGCTGAGTATCTCCCTATGGGACCGGGCTGGGTAGACGGAGGGGACTTGGGGTGAATAATAGTGAAGGGCATTGACTGGCAGCTGGACAGAGGGTAGGTGGGGAAAGGAATTGTTATAGAGCTGGCATGGAAATAGATTTCTCACTGCATGAAACTTAGCAAGATTTCAAACTTTCCCCCCTTTTGCATGGGGATGAAACAGAGACCTTTCAAGAGAGCCTGAACCCAGAGTGGCCAATAGCCCCTGGTCAGGGCGCTCCCCCAAGATGTGGTTCAAATACCTGCTCTGCCTGATTGGAAGCAGGGACTTGAATCTGGGTCGCCCATATACTAGCTGAGTAGCCTGACTACCAGGCTATACAAGGGTGGGCTTCTTGACCTCTCCTACTGGAGCTGTTATACAACATGGTATCAATATTTCATATTCATTGGGCAGAGCGAGAGACAGACTGACTCTACAAGCTGATGGTCAGGCCGCTCATCTGGAATGTGAGAAACAGGGAATTGACTCTCGGTCTACCACACGAGTGCCCTAACCATCAGCCCATGGATCCAATCACTATCTTGCTTTCTCTGGCCCAATGACAATTTAATTATTCCTACAGAGTGGAACATCTCCAGCAGGAGAGATGGAGAGACCTGCCCCAAAATGGCCAACAGCCTGGAGGCCAGCTCACTCACCTGGCATGAGAGAGAATGGCAGAGCGGGGACTTACCCTGGATCGCCTACATCCCAGATGAATGCCCACTGGGTTACTGGCTACTCTGGGGGCTCTTTCACATTCTAACCAGAAATTCCATCTTGGACCTGAGAAACTTTCCGGACCAACGTTTTGCAAACCCCAGTACATTCCTGCTAAAAGTTTTAGTTTCAACAAATTGGCATCTCTGACTAAAAAACATTCTGACAAAAAAATTCCCGGCCAGTTCTGGTTGTTATGTCCAACGTTCTACTGGGGCTTTGACAACTTGCTTGATAGCTCTCGGTCTGTCTTGTCTTTTAAACTATGGAGTTTGGGGGCAGGGATTGTTCTGTTCTGTCCAGAGCTCAGCACAATGGGGCCACCACCTTGACTGGGACCACAGGGGCTACCGCAATACAAAGAAATCATCATGGATTTTACAGGGAAGGTGCTCAGAGGGCATGGTGATGGGCCACAGGATAAACCCTGCCCTAGATGCTTTTAGCTCATATGTTTCTGTGCTCCATATTATGTCACAGACTCATAGACTTTAAGGTCAGAAGGGACCATTATGATCTTCTGGTCTGACCTGCACAATGTGGCCCCCAGAACCTCCCCCAGCCACTCCTGTAACAAACCCCTAACCTATGTCTGAGCTACTGAAGTCCTCAACTTGTGGTTTAAAGACTTGAAGGT